GCTAGCCACATGCAGTTCTTCGGCATTTTGAGTGTGGCTCTTCCACAAAATATCACGGCCTGGGTGAGTCTGTTTTGAAGAAGTGGCATAGAATAAGTAAGTTTAAGAAATTTGGCTCTCAAAAGAAATTTCAATCATACTGTTGATATTTGGCTCTGAGGACTGAGTTTGCCGACCACTGGCCTAGAGGAGGCTCGTTAGGGTTGGTTGTTGTCACGAAGTCATCATCGGTAGGAGAGCTGTCCTGGAACTTGCTGGCCTCACCCAAGAGCCTTATCATTTAGCTTCATTCTCTGTTCCTAGTACTTTGTCTGATGTGCTGGGCACACCCTGAGTTCCGCCTTTGGATGGAACCTCTTCATTTACCTTTATAATTTCCAGACCGTAAATTTCAAAGCGGTGGTCTAGAATGTTGGGCCCATAAAGTTTTTTAAAACTAAGTGAACATGTTAAGAATGAGTGGTTCTGCCAAAACCGGTTTGGCTCAGTGGATAGAGTGTCAGCCTGCTGACTGAAGGGTCCTGGGTTTGATTCTGGCCAAGGGCACATACCTTGGTTGCGGGCACATCCCCAATAGGAGATGTGCAGGAGGCAGCTGATCAATGCTTTTAACGCTTATCCCTCTCAATTCCTCTCTGTAAGAAAATCAATAAAATATATATTTAAAAAAATAATAAATAAAATATTTAAAAAAATGATTGAGTGGTTCTGAACATAGGTCCAGATATTCACGTTTTCTTGGTAAATCGGGCAGTCGTGATGCACATTCCTGCCTCCTCAGGCTGAACTCTGGACCACAGAGACTCCGCTCCTGTGTTATCTGACACGTTCCGCAGGCCAGCTGCTGGTGTCAGGCGTTCGGGGCAGCAGTGAGACTACGCAGTGGTTCTCAGCTGGGTGCTAGTCCACCAGTTCTTCCTGTGGGCGCATTTTGATCAGCGTATAAAACATACATTTGTTAAAATCTAGTGCACACGGTAGTGTTTCGCTTTTGTCTATCAGAAGAAACAGTGAGCTGTGCAGATGGGTCTGTGCTGTCCGACCAGGATGCAATTTGCTGAAAATAAATGGTGAAAATGTTATTCTTGTTTAAAGCTCAAGTCAAAGAAAAGTGGGTTATGGGAGAGCTTTGCCTTCTGAGTGTGTAAGAGAGCCACAGTTGGTGCAAATCACAGTGACAAATATCATAGTGCCAAGGGTCACAATGCCAAGTGTCAACAGTGCCAAGTGTCACAGTGCCGAGTGTCAGTGCTGAGTGTCACAGTGCTCAGTGTCACAGTGCTTAATGTGACAGTGCTGAGTGTCCCGGTGCTGAGTGTCCCAGTGCTGAGTGTGACAGTGATGAGTGTCACAGTGCTCAGTGTCACAGTGCTGAATGACACAGTGCTGAGTGTCACAGTGCTGAATGTGACAGTGCTGAATGTGACAGTACTGAGTGTCACAGTGCTCAGTGTCACAGTGCTGAGTGTCACAGTGCTAAGTGTCACAGTGCTGAATGACACAGTGCTGAGTGTCACAGTTCTGAATCACAGTGCTGAATGTGACAGTGCTTAGTGTCACAGTGCTGAGTGTCATAGTGCTCAGTGTCACAGTGCTCAGTGTCACAGTGCTCAGTGTTACAGCTGACTAAATTGGGTTAAAACTGTTGCCTAACCCTATATACTAAAGATGCAGTATTCAAATGGTGTTTATGCAGTGAAGAGTAACAACTGGATCAGTAGGAAGGTGGGGCAGCGAGCTGCAAGTGGGTGGCAGAGAGCTATAGGAAGGGGCAGAGCAGCAAGCTATGAGGGGGGTGGCTACAGGAGGGCAGGGCAGCGGGCAGACAGCTACTGGAGGGTGGCAGCGAGCTGCTGGCGTACGGTCTCGGGCATAGGGTACTAGTCTTTCATAAGTGGGTTTTCTTGGTGAGGCGGTGGCTGGGGCGGGGTTAAAGGGGACATATGTAGTACTTTCAACAATAAAGATAAATAAAATAAAAAACAAAAATAAATACTGTAGATGAAAACGGGACCAATATGACATGTCTTTATAATATAAGGGCTTAGTTAAACTGAAATAAAAGTCGTGATATCAGCAGTTTAATTTCTAGTGGGCTTTTAGAACAAATAATTGAGATTAAACTTTTTTTGGATGGTAAAATGTATGTAATATACAATTTGCCATTTTAACTTTTTAAGTCTAATTCAGTAACATTAATTACATCCATAGTTTTGTGCAACCCTCACAACAAAAACTGTTTCACAAACTCTTTTGTCACACCAAACATAAACTCTGGAACCATTAAGCAATCTCTCCATCCCCCTCGCTCCAAGCCCTCATAACCTCTAATCTATTTCCTTCTGTCTCTATGAGTTTGCTTATTCTAAAAGAGAATTATACAATATCTGTCCTTCTGTGTTTTGTTTATTTCACTTAATACAATGTTTTCCCCCCAATATTTATCTGTGTTGCAACTAGTATCACAACTTCATTTATTTTTATGGATGAATAACATTCTATTGTATGTATATGCCACGTTTTGTTTATCTACTCATCTGCTGATGAACACTTGGGTTGTTTCCACCTCTTGCTGTTATGAATAATGCTGCAATGTCCAAGTCCATTTGGGCTCCATAGCAAAACACCACAGATGGGTGGATTACAGACAGCAGAGATTTATTGCTGGCAGTTCTAGAGTCTGGAAGCCCAAGATCAGGGTGCCGGCATGGTCAGGTGAGGGCCCTCTGCTGGGCTGCAGACGTCTCGTCGTATCGTCACCTGGCAGAAGCAGCTAGGGAGTCTTTTATAAAGAGCACTGATCCCACTCGGCTGGTATTGCTCGTTGGCCTATGAACCAGGAGGTTCATGCCCAGTTGCAGGCTTGATCCCCAGTGGGAGGCGTGCAGGAGGCAGCCAATCAATGATTCTCTCTCATTCTCTCTCCCTTCCTCTCTGTAATCCATACAAAATATTAAGAAAAAAAAAGAAAAGCAAAAAGCACTAATCCCATTCATAAGGGCTCCTCTCATTACCTAATGACCTTCCAAAGGCCGCACCTTCTACACCATCACAGTGGGCATTCGGATTTTGAGGGACACAAGCATTCTGCCTATAGCACACACTGAACGTTGGTTGAAGTCTCTATGTGAGACTCTGCTTTCCATTCTTTGGGGCATATACCTAGAAGAGGGATTGCCCGGTCACACAGTAATTCTGTGTTTAGCTTTTTGAAGAACTAATAGACTGCCACAGTGGCCGCATCATTTTGCATTCCCACCAAAACCATATGTGGGTCCTGATTTCTCTCTAATGCTTATTTTCCATTTTTGATTATAGACATCCTAGAAGGTGTGAAATGCTATAAATAGCTTGAATGTTTAAAATTAAAATATAGTTTATGAAAGCTTTAAACTTTGTTTTAAAATGCCCTAAGTTCATTGATTTAAAAAAAAATTGTTGTATATTAAAATATTTTACATAAAATATTATTAGACCCTCTAATTCTTTTATATGTTAACACTAGAGGCCCGGTGCTTGAAAATTCATGCATTGAAGGGGGCCTCTCAGCCCGACCTGCCCCCTCACAGTCCGGGAGCCCTCAGGGGTGGGAGGCGACCTGGCGATCAGGAGAAGGCGATGCCCCATCACATCTCTGCTGCTGCCACCTCCGACAGTGCAAGCCTCAGCCAGTCTGGTTACCTGAGCCTGGGGCGGCTCTGGGTGGTGCAGCCGAAATCTGAGGCTTGCCTGCTCCCTGGGCCAGCCCTGGGCTGCTGGGGGGCTGAGGGGATTGGGGGACTCCAGAGGCAGGTGCTTGGCAGGGCTGAGGGGACTGGGTGCCACCATCTTGTGGCTGTGGGTGCCACCGTCTTGGAGAATGGAGCAGTCAATTAGCATATTCCCTCTTTATTAGACAGAATTGGCCATTTTTATCCCAATTGTAATGATCTTTAAAGCGTGTATAGTCTATCTTTAAAAAAAAAAAAAAAAAGGTAAGCCCTGGCCGGTTTTGCTCAGTGGATAGAGCATTGGCCTGTGGACCGAAGGGTCCCAGGTTCGATTCCAGTTAGAGACATGTATCTTGGTTGTGGGCACATCCCCAGTGGGGGATGTGCAGGAAGCAGCTGATCGATGTTCCTGACTCTCTACCCTTCTTCCTTCCTCTCTGTTAAAAATGAACAAAAGATATTAAAAAATAATAAAAAGGTAAACACTTCTTTGGAGGGAAAAAAGAACTAACTTTTTACAAATTAATGCCAACCTGTATTCCAATCATAGAAAACTAATTGGGATTCCCCAAACAGGTCATGCACATCACTCTCAAAAGTGCATCAGCTTCAGCATTCCCTGGGATTGGAAACAAATACAAATTCTCAAACCTTACCAAAGTCAGAAATCGTAGGCTAGGGCCCAGAGTCTGTGCTCTAACAAGCCCCCCAGATGACGCGTTTTCTCTGTTCGCGCCTTCCCTGTCCTTTACAACACTGGGAGAACATGGCGTGGCCTGGCAGTCCTGCTGTCACTTCCAGGATGGCTTCCCTCCCCACCCCCAAGCCACCTCCTGCCGGGCTCCCCCATGCTGTGCTGTGGAGTGCTGACACTTGGTTGTGTATCCCCTCCAGTTCGAAGCCTCTGTATGGGATTTCCATCTCTCACTTCTTCATCTGCTGTAGTGCTTACTGCATTATAGGTATTCCTTTAAGAATTGCTAATTTGAGCTGGGTTCCCAGTGGGTAGAGACAGGGTACATGAGATCACAGGGAAGGAGAGGAAGCCAGCTGTTATTTAACCTGTGGGGTAGGATAAACCATGGTAAAGGTGGTTTTACATTTTTTTTAAAGTTGTTTTTCTTATGGGATATTCTGCACACTTTCTTGTTAGCTTTCTGTCTACTTCATTGCTTTTTGCCGTATTTGAGCAGTGGTATGCTATTAAGATTCAGAACTATCCGCGGTGGGAGCGGGCCGGGCCGGCGGGAGGGAGGCGGCCGGCCGGAGGGAGCCAGCGGGGGAGCCGGAGGCCGCCGGAACCGGGGCTTCTGAGATGACGCCCGGCGCTCCCTGCGCCCCGGTTTAGGAAGCGCCCCCGGAGCCAGGCTTTGGGGCGTCGCCGGAAGTGAGGGACTCGGTTTCCCTTCGGGAGTGCACCGCCTGGGGTGCCCGACACTCCATCCCTGTCAGAATCCTGCTTACCTATGAAATGCAGTTAACGCATCAGCTGGACCTATTTCCCGAATGCAGGGTGACCCTTCTGTTATTTAAAGATGTTAAAAATGCCAGAGACTTGAGAAAAAAGGCCATGGAAGGTGCTATTGATAGTTCATTGATAAACCCTACAGTGATTGTCGATCCATTTCAGATACTTGTGGCAGCAAACAAAGCAGTTCATCTCTACAAACTAGGAAAAATGAAGACGAGAACTCTATCTACTAAAATTATTTTCAACCTGTCCCCAAATAACAATATTTCAGAGGCTTTGAAAAAATTCGGTATCTCAGCAAATGACACTTCAGTTCTAATTGTTTGCATTGAAGATGGAGAAAAACAAATAGATAAAGAAGACCTAATAGCTAAGGTAGAATGTCAGCAAATTTCCCTGGAAAATCTTCCTGAAATAACAAATATTACAGAAGTAAAAAAGATATATAAACTGTCTTCACAAGAAGAAAGGATTGGGACATTATTGGATGCTGTCATTTGTAGAATGTCAACAAAAGATGTTTTGTGAAATGACAGAAGCATTAAAAATGTTCAGCATTTATAAAAAAAAAAAAGATTCAGAACTATCAAAGGAACTTGCTTTAAAATACAAGGTTGCCTGATTTAAACTTTTTGAAGATAGTTGTATGGGAGGCAGACTCTGGAATTATTCCATTTAGGGTACAACAAAGGTCTTTCATGGAAGGAATCTTTTGTAGTATTTCACTACTAGTGGCCCATGCACGGCATTTGTGCACTCGGCGGAGGGGGGTTAAGGGGTGGGTCCCTCAGCCCAACCTGCGCCCTTTAATGGGAACCCTTGGGCGATGTCTGACGTCCTTAGCTCTGCCACAGAGGCAGGAGAGGCTCCCGCCACCACCACTGTGCTCGCCAGCTGTCAGCTCCGCTGTGGCTTGCTCTCTCTCTGGGTGCACACTGACCACTAGGGTGCAGTTCTGCATTGAGAATCTGCCCCCTAGTGGTCAGTGCACATCATAGCAACCGGTTGTTCCTCCATTTGGTTGATTTGCATATCACCCTTTTATTATATAGGATTCACTAGTTCAATACATGCTTTAGATATTTTTTTAATTGGACAACTTTTAACCCACAAAACTTAAAATATACCATAGTTGAAGATACCATCTAAGTTTTGCCACACATTCAATTGCTAAACAAGTAATGAGGTCTGTTGGAGAGGAAAAATTTTACTTCTACCCTCTAGGTTCTTTGGCTGGTCTAAAAATCACATTAGTACCTCACAGATTAATAGGAGAAAAACACACACAAATTTACATACATACATACATACATACATACATACATACAGGGCCCCATAAGAATATAAGACCCACTGATGTTCAGGCCAAGAAAGGTCATCCTTGGTAAAGAAAAGTTGGGAGGGACCTCAAAGGGAAGGAAGGCAAATCACAGGAAGTTGAGGGAACCAAGCTTTTGGTGACCAGTGTTCATTTGCCATGTCCTGAAGAGACAGGAGACACAGCCCTGCTGGGTGCTCCCAGCCCCCACACCTGGCCCACAGTCCTCGTAGTTCTCTCTGGTGATTGTCTTCTGGGCCAGGCCCTCGTCTGAATCTGTAGGCACGTAAAGGGGAGGCAGTAAGCTCTTCTGAGTCTTTTGGGCCACGATTGTCTTTAGCTCAAAACCTAATTACTTGCCAGAGTGGCACATTTGGGGACAGATCCATGTTTTCCAGTTTCTGGGATAAAAATTAAAATTTGGTTAGTGGTTGTTACGGTTTTAATCTCAATAGAGCTGCAGCGTTTTCTTAAGACAAACCTCAGCCACAGATACACTTTAGCGTAGGCTTCATGAAGCCTCATAACGGAGGCTGCGCTGGAGTTATCCTGCCTTTAACAGACTTCTGGTGCTCTGTTTATTTCCCACAATTTTCTGCATGTTTGTCTCAAATGAACCATAAAATGATTCAGTGCCAACATGTGGTTTTAATAAGAAATAAGCATGCGCAAATGAATGTTGAATTAGAACCTGAAGTTTTATACATACTGCGTGACTTTAGCTTGTAAGTCAGTTGATAGCTTAGCACTCAGTCAGTGTTAAGTAACTTATCAGTTACTATCCTAAAGTTTTCATTCTGTGCATCCATTATTTGGAGCACCTATTAATGATTGAAAATCAAACACTTATTGATAAACCATTATCGACAAGTTTTTATAGTACATTTCTAGTCAGGCTTTATTATTAAGTAGGAACAACTTTCTCCCAGAGCTCTTTTTTACCTTATTGGTTTTTAAATACGATATTATGGTTTATATTACACAAAAATGACAGATTATTTCATATTATAAAACTCACTTCTTGCCGAAACCGGTTTGGCTCAGTGGTAAAGCGTTGGTCTGTGGGCACATCCCCGGTAGGGGGTGTGCAAGAGGCAGCTGGTCGATGTTTCTCTCTCATCGACGTTTCTAGCTCTCTATCTCTCTCCCCTCCTCTCTGTAAAAAAATCAATAAAATATATTAAAAAACAACACTTGTTTGCAAAGTTCCAATTGCAAATAAGGCTCTTGAAGCAGGAAGTCACTGGCTGCTCGGCATTAGCGTTAGGCGCAAGTGGAGATTCCCTCTCTTCCCGCTCTCTGTGGAGCAGCATGAGGCTGTGCAAATGTCTGTCCCTCAGGCGGGTCTTGAGAGGGTGCAGAGAATAAAGAGGTTTGGATGTTATCATTTGTAGAATAGTTGAAGTGCTTAGGGCTTCTGTGCTTTATCCCCTGTATTCCTAAAGACATTTTGTGGGGGAATTTCTCATTTTCCCCTATCCTGCCCTTGGCATGCTGGCCTTGACTGCCTACCAAGGAAGTGGGAAGAATAGCAAGGGACAAGCCCTCCCAGCACAGCTTCGGGGTGTCCTCTTGGCACTGGTCGCAGCAGGTGCTGTGTGTGCCCTTGTCCCTGACCCAGCGTTACCGTCCTCTTCTGTGTTCACTTGCCTTGGTTCTGATGAGATGTCCCACTATGTACAGTAACATTATGTGGTCTTTTAACTCACCACAGACCCACAGGCCTACGCCCCTGAAAGCCGGGCTCTCCTGGGAGGATTCCAACGGCATGCGCCATGGCTGCTCAGTGGGCTGTGGTGAGAAATGCCAGCCAGGAGACAGGAAGCAGTGGGCTGGGTTCTTTGCTGCTGCTTTCCAAGAGCAGCATCTTTGTGGTTTAGACCTAGCAAACCATGATTTAAAGTCAACACCTACTGCACATGTGTCAAACACAAGGCCCGCGGGCCAAATCCGTCCCGCCAGGCCTTGCAATGTGGCCCGCACCGCGCTGTCATCACTGCACTCCGCTGCGTTTCCATCACAATGACAGTTTATGACTGTTCAGTAAACCATTTGGCCCGCGATTTAGGCTGGATTTTAGATTTTGGCCCCTTCTCTGATTGAGTTCGACACCCCTAACCTACTGTGTGGAATGTACCCTATGCCGGTACATTCCACACGCTTGTTACAACACACAGGCCTATAAGCATATGCTAAGTTAAAGAGAAGGAAAGATAATGAAACAAGGAAGATAAGCCCCGCAGGCAGGCCGGCTGCTTTAGAAGACGTTCAGCTTCCTTCCACCTGGGAATTGATAGCGTCTCACAGGCAGGCTGGGGTGGCTGCTCAGAGCTCTGCACTGCTCTCTCTGCGCGTTACCTCGTGGTTGTCAAACTTCAGCACGCACCTGCCACTTTGAAAGGTTGGTTATATAAAACCAGGTTTTCCAAATTTAATAACAAGTGAAGAGAAATTTATGGGAATTTGGAGTTGAGTACTTTTTGCCTATTTCTGCCTATACCTCATGCCACTACTCACCTTAATAGTTTGATTTCCACCTGTTCCTCCCCTTCTATTTTGATTTCTCTCTCTCTCTCTCTCTGCTGGAGGCTTGCCTTGGCCGACCTTGCCTTGCCTTGGTCTTGTTTGCTGTTTCCACAATTACAGTACAAACATTTCTTTCAGAACACTCATACAGGTCTGAGTGACAGACTTAGGGCATATATTCAGTAAAAAGATAACTAGAATAAAAGGTAAAAATTCTAAGGAAAGGTGAGGTGATGCACATTACCCATGAGTGTCCTTTCAGAACACTCATACAGGTCTGAGTGACAGACTTAGGGCATATATTCAGTAAAAAGATAACCAGAATAAAAGGTAAAAATTCTAAGGAAAGGTGAGGTGATGCACATTACCCATGATTGTATTTCAAGAGTCAGATTTATAGATGGTGTGATGGATGGATGAATGGATGGATGGATGGTTAGTTCACTGACTCATTTATACAAATGTGCGCTCAATCTTTCATATGTACAAGACATTATGCGTGAGGGGACACCTGTTAACAAGTGTGGTCCCTGCCCTTTGCCCTTGCCTTGCTCACGGCCTGGTAGGTGAAACAGACATTATTTAACAATTGGAATATAATGGGTATTTCCAAGGTGAAGCATGGAAAGATCTAATCTGGGGTCAGATCATGGTATTTTCCTGGAAGCTGCTATTGGTCTGAATTCAAGGTGTGAATGGTAATTAGACAAAAAGGGGTTCAGTTAAGGCTGAACAGTCTAGGCAGAGGGGATCATGAGAAGGCTTTCGGGGGTGAGGCCAGTAGCTGAGAGCATGGAGGATGGTCAGGCTGCTTGAGATGAGCCAGTTCATGCAGAACCTTGAAAACCATGAATGTTGTTTTACTTCACCCCAAAAGCAATAGAACATCACAGGAAGCTTCCTCACCTGGGAAGGGGAGGAGGATGAACTCTAAGGCCGGACATCAGTTAGCCTGTCTCTTATGCAGGTGAACTTCTGTTGTGCTCTCATGCCCTTCAGCGGCTTCAGTGATCATTCCGGACGAACCCACAGGGCCAGGCCCTCTGATTGTCATGGTTGTGGAGCCAGTAGCTTTTATGTACATAATGGAGTAACACCTGTTAGAGTTAGTTTTTATTTATTTAGTGGAGTAGCATCTGCTAGAGTTAGTTTTAGATTATTTCTTACAAAAGTTTTAAATGCCTTTGGTTATAGTCCCCTTGAGACCAAGCCCCTGCTTCCATCACCCTTCACCGAGTTCACCTTAGCTCTGGTCACTGAATGGCCTTCAGTAACTGCTCATAGTGTTAATGCAGATTGAATTAAACTAAGACTTTTTGAATTGTCATATTGAGTTTTACTTAATATTTTTTCCATAAAAACTTGTACTTTTTAAAGGTCTTCAGAGTTTGTTTGTTTTTCCATTCTGTCATGATAGTTCTTTCCATTAATTTCTTTCTCATCTAACTTAATGATGGAAAGGCAAGTAATGATTTAGTCACCAAGTAAGTAAAGGTATTAACATGTAATAAAATCTTTTGAAAAAATATATAGTAAAAGTAACATGCCTTGGATGAAAATTAGTAAATACCCTGTTGTTTATTAAGAATTTGATAGAAACAGTAAATATTTTATGAAAGTATATTTTATTCTTTGTGGTATTTGGTCACTCCTTGTCTCTTATTAACAATTCTAATTAGGATGAGAATTTTTTAATTATATTGGACTTTCTTGGTACTGTATTGTAATGA